CCCCATCCTTTTCCATAATATATATGATTCTGTCGGCTTTAAATACGGTTACTATATTGCATTAAAAATTAATATGATGAGTCATAAGGTTTTTAAGTATGCGTACAAAGAATTCTATTTGTCTTTAACTCATTATGTCAACTGGACGTAAAGAAACTTTCCTCAAACTCTAAAACTACATGTATTCTCACTGTGTCGTCTTCTTTATTGAAAAGAAATGATTACTTGTTTTTACGCGTGGTATTGTTTCTTTGATAAGAACACAAGTTCATTATTTTGAATTGAATATAGATAGATAGATATATAGATAGATAGATAGATAGATAGATAGATAGATAGATAGATAGATAGATATATAGATAGATAGATACATAGATAGATACATAGATTCATAGATACATAGATACATAGATACATAGACAGAAAGATACATGGATAGACAGATACATAGATAGACAGATACATAGATAGACAGATAAAAATATAGACTACTTTATGTATCAGGAAATGGCTTTTCCAAGGAACAAAGATCCTCCCCCCACCCCCAAACCTGACTTGACATCAAATGAGTCATCATTATACTCTCACATCCTGACATCCTTTTGTAATTACTTACGCCCACACGTGTTTGGTGGCAGTTTGTGTTTATCATCCTGGTAACAATAGCTGATCGTGAACTTTCTTACACCGGCACGTTGAACACTCAGACCCTGGTAGGATCTTACGCGTAATTTCTCTTCTTGGTTTCCTCATTACTGGTGACCTTTAAAGGTGAGTTGCTTCTAAGTGAGGGAGTCTGTATATATATTACGTTTTAAAATTACTATGACAGTAGGGGAAGAAAGGGATGCGATCGTGAAAGGTTTTTCTCTTACTTGTCTTGAGTATTCATCGGAAGTAATTTACAAAAGCAAATTCATGATCGATAGTGCATTTGAAAAGCCCATTTGATGTATAATATAATATATGTTACCCCTTTATTGCAACGCCCAGAAACGCTCCCCTCCTTCTCCCCTCACTTTTCAAATGCGCACGCACGCTCGCACACACACACACACACACACACACACACACACACACACACACACACACACACACACACACATACACATTATTCTTCTAACGCACATTACTGCTTACTGATCCTCTTATCCAAGAGGATCGTAGGGGTGCTGTATGATAGAGAGCCTAGTGAGGTGCCTCCACTTTTCACGGTTTTTAAAAAAAAATTATTTATTGCGAGCGCCTGAGTTTGGGCGAAGGATTTCCCTGTCCTCTCAGCAATGTTGTCGGTCAAACTCTTTCTTTGCATTTCTCTTTTTCTCCTCTCCCGCACAGTTCCCGGAAGCATTGTCTTGAATAGGCCACACGAACTTGTTACATGACCACACCAATTCATTTTTCTTCTCTTCACAGCAGACAGCTAGTCTAAAAAGTGGCTCATGTATTGTTTGCCTCCACTGCACACTTTCTCATTGTGAAGTAGTCATTGTGTAAGATGCCAAAGAGTCTTCTTAAGCATCTCATTTCGACTGCTTGGATCTCCCTCTCCAGCTCTGGCGTCAAGGTCCATGATTCACAAGCATGCAGAAGGATGGAGATGATGAGGGCATAGAGTAGTCTGATTTTGGAATTGACTGAGGTGTTTCTGTCTTTCCATATTGCTTTTAGTTTTGTAAGCGCCTCTGTTGTTTATAAATTTTTACTTGGACTTTTGGCTTTTTTCCTTCTAGGCTGATGATAGCACCAAGGTTCTTGAACAGGTCGACTGTTTAAAACTGTTGACTATTGACTGTAATTTTGGCTTTAATGTGTTTGTCACTATTTCTCGTCATCTTTGTCTTCTCGGCATTAATTTCGATGCCATATCTGGTTGATGTCTCATCCAATCGTTTCACCAGTCTGGCGAGTTCGTTTTCATTTCCTGTCAGCCCGTCAATGTTATCGGCAAACCTGAGGTCAGTAACTATTCGTCCACCGATGCTGACTGTTCTCGTATGATTTTCAAGGACATCAGTCATGATTTGTCCTAGAACGATGTTGAACAGGGTAGGTGATAGCAGGCAACCTTGGCTTACACCGACGGCTGCGTGGAAACATTCTCCTATTTCACTTGGGCGAAGATGCACTGGTGGCTTTGTTGTATAGCTGTTCGATCGATTCTATCAGTTTCTGGCTCATGTTGTAGTTTTTCATTGTTGATTGTTGCTCATAATGCATCATGCCACACAATCAAAGGCCTTCTTGAAATCAATGAACACATGGAAGATGTTTTGTTGGTGTTGACAGCATTTCTCGCACAGAACTCCGAGATTGAATATCTGTTCTGTTTAGCTTCTTCCATGCCCGAACCCGGTTCTCTCTTCAGCGATTGTTTCTTCTGCCTGAGACCTTAATTGGTTCAGTATAACTTTCAGCATCACTTTGCTTGCCTGGCTTGCCAGGCTAATAGTTCGATAATTTTGTCATATCTGTAGATTGCCTTTCTTGGGGAGAGTGATGATAAGAGATTGCGCCCAAGGTGTGGGCCATTCACCCGTCTTAAAGATTTTATTGGATATGCTAGTGAAGATGTTCACCACAGTCTATCCACCATTTTGTTCAGTTCTTCAGGGATGTTGTCAACTCTTGTTGCTTTTCCGTCTTTTAGTGATCTAATGGCTGTCTTTACTTCTTCTCTAAGGATTGGCAAGGCATCGTTGTTTGTCGATTCATGGCAGGATGCTACATTGCAGTCATCGTTGGATTGATGGTTATAAAGGTTTGAACAGTACTCTGTACACCTTTCTAGGATGCCCCCTTCTTCTGTGAGGCAGTTCCCAGCTTTGTCTTGGATGGTGCTAACTCTTGCTTTCTTTGGTTTCATTAGTTCCTTCTCTGTTTGAAATGCTTGCTTGCTGTTGTTCTTTTCCAAATGTTCCTCAGTTTCCTTACACTGTTTCTCAATCTACTCTTGTTTGGCTTGATTCATGCTCTATCTGATCATTTTATTTTATTTGTATCTATGTAGTCTTTAGCTCCCGAGGGCGTGTTTTTGCTTTTCTTTAGATCCCTCCTTTTATCACACATTTTGAGGATTTCTTGCGTAACCCATGGTTAGATTTTTCTGTGTACTTTTCCAAGCACCTCGTTTGCTGACTCTGTCATGGCTTTATTAAACTGATTTGTTAGAGTCTCTGGACTTTGATTTTCTTGCATTAAAGGACGCACTAACTTCCCTCCGACTCCTGCCTTGAAAGATTCTGCGATGTTTGGGTCTTTCTGTCTGTCCAGATCAATCTGACTTTAAGGTTCAGCAGTACCATGTCGTGATCGCTTCCGACATCTGCACCAGGTTACGTTCTTGTGGTATCTTTTTTCTATATCTGACTTAAACAGTTTCTGCCTCAAGATATAATCAATCTGGTGATGATGGAATCCGTCTGGCACATGCCAAGTCCAGCGTCTTGATGCTTTGTGCTTGCCGAGTGTATTTGCCAGTGCCATGTTGTTGCAGCTGGCAAACTTTAGCAGTCGTAGCCCTCTTTCATTGGTTTTGTCATTGCAGATTTCCTTCTAGTTTGTCTCTTCCAACTTTTGCGTTCCAGTAGCCCCGGATGATTAGAAGGATGTTTTTTTTTTGTCGACTTTGTCAATGATGTCCTGGAGTTGAGTGTACAATACCTCCGTTTCTTCGTCGTCATAATCGATTGTTGGCCAGATCTACGGTGATGCTGAATGGTGTTGCTCGTAGGCGGGTGGATATGGCCCTGCTGGAAACTGGCCAGCAACCTAGTACCAAGTTCGTGATATTCTTATGAACAAGAAAACCTACACCATTGATGTGTTTATCAATTTCACACCTGTAGTAGAGTACATGGCCTTCATCGGTAAGATAATCTCCGAAATTTGTCCTCCTAACCCCACAACGTTCCAAGTGTATTTATCAAGTTCATGGATGAGCTCCTACAGTTTCCCAGTTAGGCAAAGTGTTCTCACATTTCAAGGTGTCAGTGAGATGCCATCTCTTCCGTGGTTCTTCTGCTGGGAGGTTGCACCAGTTGCACATTTATCGCGTCCGTCCCGATTTACAATGGACAGCACGACCCTTTTGCCGGGCGACGTCCTATCCGGTATGGTTTAATTTCATAGGTCTGTCATACAGTAAGTCTAGGGATGGTGAAGCCTGGCTGCGCCCATCCCTCTCCAAGCTGGGCCAGGGCCGACTTCCTCCAATACCCAGGGGCTCTCCTTGACCTCGTGGACCCGTTACCCCGTAGCCCTTCGTCTGGGAAGTCTACGCCCTGGCCGGTGCCTTAGGTACAGGTCAATCCCCCAGTGGTGCCCTCACAAGGTTTTGTGCCCCGGCTGAGACACGGTCCCGGGGTGTAGCACTTAGGGCCAGCATAAGAGAGATTTAGGAGATGGAGGAGGATCAGTGCACCCGTCCTTCCTACTCATATTAGCAGGGAGCAACAGTCAGACTACAAAATTACTACCTCTCCTCAGAGCCCCCCAACAAACATACTCACATCATATCACGCAAGCACATGCATCACACACACACACACACACACACACACACACACACACACACACACACACAC